TACCGCAGGAGGACAGAGGCGTCCCTAGTTGCTCCTTATATGGGGATAGCACTTTAAGGGTGCTTTTCCAACGTCAGGCCATCAGCCACACAGTTTTCCGCGATGTATACCGCGAACCGGCACCTAACCTAGCCTTATTAGGAAGCACTCCGACAAGATTGATAGAGAGGTCAGACATTTCTTCACCAATTTTGAGCGCACCATCACACCCTTTAGCAGTGAATCTACCGCTTACTTGATTGCAGCTATTTCCACCTGAAAGACACTGCAGAAGTCCGGAAACCTGAACATAGTTTAGGAGGAGAGTTTCCAACAGAAGAAACCTCCACCAACTCTGTCTCCAAGTTTTGATCCTGCCGTGAAGAAGTTTGCCGCTCGCTTCTTCGAGTAACCCCGCCCTACCCAGTACTCTCTCGGGGGAATATATGTATGTAGGTAGAGAAGGAGCTTTTGGGAGCCATTTCCCGGTTTCCCTGAATCTAATAGCAGTTTTTGACGCGAAAATTCTGTCTGCAATATACGCAGGCGCCGTGTTTAACATGGCATTAAGCGCCAGTGTAGCCGTGGCGCCTTAAGCTGGACTAATTCCGATTCCAGTTTTTCTACAAGTGTGGCCTTCTCTAGTGAGTTCCACCAGGCAACGGCTCTGTGAAACAAAATTGACTTAAATCTGATTTCATAGAGCTAATGAATTACTTTGGGCGAGAGACCTCCCCGTTTGCTGATAGCTTTTTACAGCAATACAAGGCAACAAACGCCTTTCTTACCGTTTTCTGAATGTTAGGCTTCTACGACAGCTTCCTATCCAGGAACAAACCTAAGAACTTGACCCTGTCTGAGAGCCGCAGACGAACACTCCCACTCGAGGGACGGACCACAACGGGTATATTGTACTTCCTGGTAAGCAAGACCAGTTCCGTCTTGCTGGGATTTACTGTGAGGTCGCCGTTGATCGTCTACCTAGTAGTTACCTGGTTCAGGTACCCTTGAGCCAGTCAAGAAATTGTCCTTTAACCAAGCGTTCCACATCATCTACCTAGGCGATCACCCGATGCCCACTTTTTCCAGTTCCCTAGAAGGTCGTTTACAACCGCAACCCAGAGTATGGGAGGAAGAGCACTACCTTGCGTAGTGCCCCTATTGACTCTGCGCTGAGTGTAGGCACTCTTCCACTCCGCCGCGACAGTTCTGTCACGAGGTAAGCCTTATTAGGTGGGTTTCAACCCGCAGATTATGTATAGTGCCTTCTGTTGTGACAATGTTGAAGGCCGCCTCGATATCGATTCCTCTAACCACTTTACTAATGTGTGTACCCACCGACCTTTCCTTGCAATAAGCATGTTGACCTCTTGAAAGACAGTCACGACAAATAGCGTTTCTTATGTACAGGTCTATCAATCAATCTAGCGTTTTTGGCAAAAACGAAGACAGACTGATAAGCCTAAAATCCCTACGGGAAACACGAGAGTTTAAGAGCCTTTTCCGGCCTTCGGGATGAACGCAACACTGACTACTCTCAAAGCCTTGGAAATGTACCCCGTCCTCACGCAGTTCACATAAATAGGAGCTAACCAATTGCACGACACCTCCAGAGCCTTTTGCAGCTGCGCAGGTATGATGCCAACGTTCTCCGGCGACTTGAAGGGTTTGAACGAATTTATCGCCCAGGCCATGTGATGATCGTCTATAAGATCGTAGAAGTACAGGACCTGAAGTAATAAATATTGCAAAGAAGTACATTTGATTGTACTGCGAAGTACGAAGTACAAGAGCTAAAAAAGAAGTAATGTATTAGTTCCGCTAGAAATACGGTTGGTCACATTAGTTTAACCCATGTTCAATACCAAGAATTCACAAATGAAAATTGACTATAAAATTTTTTAATGGAATACATTCTTGAGTGCGGCCCCTGTTGCTTTTAAAGTGGATTAGCAAAATGTTAGTTCCGACACAAACCCAAAAACCGCTGCATTTTTGTACTTTCGCCGGAAACGGTACATAAATAAATGAAAATGGCAGACAAAGCAAATTTTCTCATCGGTGCAGGGCGCCAGCGAATGTTTTTTAATGTTTTTGAAGAAGATTTGCATTGAAGAAAATATATATATATATTTTTTTAAATAAATGAAAAATAGGCTTATCTAAGAATTCATCATTATTGCTTTTGTCAGAGAGCGTTTATAAATGAGAAGGCGCATTTCCAGTGATCGTTTTTGTTGCGCAAAAATTTTGAGTTGTGCGAGCCAGAATTTACCACTGCGAGGCAGAATGCTCGTTGCCACCACTCCAAAGATTTTCAATTCTACCACTCGTGAGCCGGAATTTACCATAGTTTAAAGCAAAATGAAAAATCATAAGAAAGAAAACGAAAAGAGAAACAGAAAAGTAATAAGCACTAGGCAGAGGGGGTGCTTGCGGAGGCAGGCGCGTGCTTGTGTCGGATCAAAATAAAAACTAAAATAAAAATGGCAGCCAGAACGACAAGTGTAGACAAACAAGCGGGAGACGGGGAAGGAGCGGGTTTTTGTACACTTGCTTGCTTGCCGAAAATATGATATTTGCGTAAAATCGATTTGCTGATTGCAGATTGATTTTTGCAAACATGTATGAATTTTTCTATTTCAGCTAAATTTATTACGTTACGTTTATTTATAAACGTTCTCTGTCGCAACTAAGTATTCTATGTATGTGCTTTGCACCACTAGCTAGCAAATTCCAAAAACTTAAAAAGAAAACCACTTGTGAGAAACCAGAGAACTTGTATTATTAATAATTACTAATAACATAATAATAAATAATACATGTCTCTGAGAAACGACTTTCTAGGGTGGCGAATTAATTTCAAATCATTTATGCGTTTATCTTAAAACTTATTATCTATTTACTTTTGAGGAAAGCCAATTCATGAAAATCGGGATTTACTTTATGGTGAAGAAAATTGTACAGGGCGCCCTCTATTGGAATCAGTTTGTGATTACTGTAAAGAGAACGACTAGTTCAGACGCACACCATGTAAAAAGTGCAACGCATTCCACATTAAAATGCAACCCTGCAAATTGCTATTTTATGCTATAAAAAGTGTTGG